GCAATAATTTTGCTATCAAATTTTCGTTCAACCAAGGCTTGAAAGTTTTGAAAAACTTGAAAGACATCAGATCTCTTTTTGAGGAGGTAAATCCATACAAACTTGCTATAGTCATCTATGAAGCTCACATAATACTCATGTCTACCAACAGAAGTGGGAGCAAGACCCCACACATCAGAGAAGATTAATTGAAGTGGTTTGGTAGAAACACTAGTAGATATTGGATAAGGTAATTGATGACTTTTAGCACATTGACAGGAATCACAAATAGTTTCGACATTTCGCTCACCAACAAATGGGAGTTTATTTTTCCCAAGCAATCTTTCAACTAAAGAAAAAGCAGCATGCCCTAATCGATCATGCCACCGTGTTGACGAGACTTTGACAACACCATTGGCTTGTTTATTGAGTCTCCTAAGCTCCGGAATCAACGGGTAAAGCCCTCGAACACATCTACCTCGATAGAGAACCTTCTTCGTGGCCTGGTCCTTGATCAAAAAGAAATATGGATGAAATTCGAGGAAAACATGATTATCAAGGGCAATTCTATGAACGGAGAGGAGACTTTTAGCAGCACTAGGGACATGCAAAATTTTCTTGAGATGAGTTGAACTGTGAGGGGTACGAAAAGTAGAATGACCAATGTGACAAATCTGCATACCTTCTCCACTTGCCGTGTGGATGTGATCTTTGCCACGGTACGTTTCTTTCATGGTGACCTTCTCAAGCTCATTGGTGATGTGATTGGTGGCAGCCGCTATCAACGTACCAATGTCGATGTCGTAGGATCCATCAGCTGCGGCAGCCACTTTTTCTTCATCTTGGGAGTCATCGTCATCTTCATCATAACGGTACCAGCAATCCTTCGCGGTGTGCCCTGGCTTACCACAAATTTGGCAGCGAGGCATCTTTGGTCGGGCCCGAGTTGGACCACCGCCACGACGACCATGGGATGCACCAGAGCGGCCGTTCTCGTCGCCGCTGTTGCCGCCACCACCGTGTTCTCCAGACCGCCCCTTGGCGCGAGAAGAGCCACGGCCACGTGATCCACCACCACGGCCACGCACCGTGGCGTTGGCAGAGGAGCGGAAGCCGCCGTTGCCCGAGTGACTGAACTGGGCCATGCGCTGATCGAAGTTGCTGAGCATGGCGTAGAGCTCATCGAGGGAGACCGGCGTGACACGTGCATCGAGGGCAGAGATGAGGGGCTGGTAGTCGACGTCGAGGCCGTGGATGATGTAGGAGATGAGCTCGTCGTCTTGGATGGCCTTCCCCGCGGCGGCAAGCTCATCGGCGAGGCCACGGAGAGAGGAGAAGTAGGCGGCAACCGTCTGGTTGCCCTTCTGCGCATTGATGAGCGTCATCCTGATGTTGTTCACACGGCTCATGGACTGCAAGGAAAACATACCTGCCAACGCTGTCCAGAGCGCGTGCCGTGGTGACCGTGGTCACCGCGATGAGTACCTCCTTGGAGAGGGTGCTGAGCAAGTAGCCCAACACCTGCTGATCCTCCCGGGCCCAGATTGGGTGGAGAGGGTTGGGCTCAGCGCTTTCTTTGCCATCCTTGTCCTTGGTGACATGAAGCCTGGCCGGCTCCGGTGTGGTGCCGTCGACGTAGCCGAAGACGTCGTCGCCGCGCAGGTGGGGAGTGACCTGTGTGCGCCAGAGCACGTAGTTCGTGCGTGTTAGCTTCTCGGTGACCTGCCCATTGAGGGTAGCCTGGGAAGCACCGGAGGAGGAGGAAGACATGGCTAGGCTCGTGTAGATGGGATCTCAGTAGTTGGAAAGAGATGGGGCTCTGATTACCATGTGCGAAGTAGCGGAATGTCTTGCCTTCTCAGGCCGACGGCTTCGTGTTATATAGATGGGGCGCACCTCCCATAACAGCGCATACATACGGTTGAGATTACATACTTGAAAATCAAGAAAGGAGATAGAGATATGAAGTTACATGAGATAAACATTATACTCTAACAACCTAACTATCTCCTAAGATGGGCCTGTCATGTAGATATGCGCCTGTCATGTATGTTTAACACTTGAAACTTCGGCAGGAAAAAAAATCAGTTTCTTTATGGCCCTGAACCATGTGATGTGCGTGATACGAGTTTAAGTGTATTTTCGTAAATTAAAAGCATTCGCAGGAGACCATTTAACTTCACCTATGTGTAGTGATCGAGGATTTACCTGCCTTACCAGGTGTATTCCTCTGTGAATAATCATATTATGTGAATTAACCGACACTAGCTCTCGTGAAAACTGACCTACCATGGATATCGTTGTCCTTCTTAATGATCAATCCTTCCCAGCTTCCTCTCAAAAACAGAAACCCTTCCCAGCTTCACCTAAAAAAAAGGGAAATACTTCCCAGCTTCCCATTTTTTGGGACAGCAATTTTTTTTGGAACTATCTTGTTTGTTTGTCCAACATGGTCTATTATTCTGAACCTTTGAGCTTCCTTTTCCCACAAGTATTATATCAGTCGAACTGACATGTAATATTTCATACTTTTCTTGTTGTAACTAGATTAATTACCAGGAATATTTGAAGCTCAAGACCAGAGTTGAATTTCTTCAAAGTTCACAAAGGTAGTCTTCAGAGATGGGGGTGAATAGTTACTTTCGTGCATATATAATATGGATTGCAGTGTTCCTGATATTGGTTCTCATTCTCATACGTAGAAATATTCTTGGTGAGGATCTGGGCCCACTTAGCATGAAGGAGCTTGACCAGATAGAGAACCAAATAGATGCATCCCTCAAGCATATCAGGTCAAAAAAGGTAGAGAACTTCGACATCTCATGTCACAGAGGCTAAGCGTTCACCAAGTTCAGATGTTTTTCATTGAATGCTTCAGTTTAAGCAAAACATAAAAAGAAAATGGAAGGAAACTCTCCCCCCGTTGGAATACCCTTCTAGCTTAATGGCAATTGGGCTATGGTTCCACTCAAGCCACATGGGTTCGAGTCTCCTCACATACCTAATGACGGAAAACTAACTGGAGGGAGCAACACCGGAAGTGGTGACAAGCTAAAATAGTTAAATAGATCAAGTTTGAATTCAATTAATAAACATTTCCTAATAGAAAGCATTTAAGTGTTGCTATTTTCTATTTGCATTGTTGTCTAGATCTATTATATGAGATATTAAAACATTGTTCAATATTTTTAGTATATATGTGATATGTGTCATGCATGACAAAGTCGTATGGTTTGCAGAATCAAGTATTACTCGATCAGCTGTTTGAACTGAAAAGTAAGGTAAGCATGAAATTCGTATTATCTTGATGTCAAATTTTGCATCATTTTCTGTTCCAGTTCTTTTGCATCCTTCTTCGGTTGATATTGTTTCTTTAATAACTGCCTAAAATGATGTTCTGCAGGAGCAAGAATTGCAGGATGAAAACAAAGACTTGAGGAAGAAGGTAACATCACTGAGGTTACTGTATCTTTCTTTTTTGCGGGGGTACAGGTTACAGTATCTGACGTATAACACACCAAATTCCCTGCCAATGCTTGATTAAAAATTTGAACAAGACAACATAAAAGTACATTTATCTTAAAGGGATTTCTTTCACTAAAATGTGGCTAATAAGAATCTGATGACTGATTTCTTGTTCGTGTCAGTTGCAAGATACCACCAGCAGCTGCGGAGAGAATGCGGTCCATATGTCCTGGCAAGACGGAGGGCAGTCTAGCTCCAGAGTACTCCAACACCCGGAGCATGATACCTCCATGCAAATTGGGTATGTTTTTCTACATGTCAATCAGTGAAAAGCTGGTAAATCTCACCGCAAAATAAAGAAGCTGGTAATCTGTCATAGGCACGATCGTTGGAGTATAATTAACCACATCAGTTACCATCGGCCTATTTTTTCGAGAAAAATAAATAATAAATCATACGCACCGGTACAAAGTTTAAATGGATTTGTGTTCCCCTGTGAAGGTATCCTCAGGCCTACATGGACCAGCTGAACAGCAGAGATCACGTGGCTTCTGAACGCCCTGGTGGAGGATCGTCTGCAGGGTGGATATGATTAACTGATGTGGCGCTGCGTCGTGTGTACTGTAGTTAATGTATCTGTACTTCGGTGACAATTGTTATATTTTTTGTGTACTGGAGTTGTGGTGATGAGCACCACATGTATCTACTGAGATTACGTGTGTGCTAGGCTGCGTGGTACGCTGACGGCCCAAAAGTTTGACAGCTTGTGCGGTGTGCTGAGGTCGCTGTTGTTTTTTGGACCCTAATAGCTTAGAGCATCTCCAGCCGTTGTGGAGGCGTTTTTTGGCCTCTGAGGAGGCATCGGCAGATTTTTTGCATCTGGGACAAAAAAAATTCCAGCCGCCCCCCATCCGACTGACGAACGCACTGCGCACGAGCCCACCGAGCTCGACCGCTGCCGCTCCGTCCTCGTGCCCCGTGTGCCCGGTGAGGAACCCGGCGAGCGTGGACGCGGGCGTGACTCGTGGGATGACCATGGAGAAGACGACCAGCGGGCGTTGTTGCTTGCTGGTGAAGCCCGATAGCGGAGGCAACTTGAGGCCGGGGCAGCTTGCCGGTGACTCGCAAACCGGCGAAGGCGCGGACGCGCATGGAAGGCGAGGCCCGGCGCCGCACACCGTCTCCCGCACTGTCTTGTAGTCGCACCCGACGCCGCACACCGTCGCGTCCGCGGGGAGCCCCTTGGGCACGCCGTGCGCGTCGACGTCGCCCCCCGAGGCCGCGAGCGAAGGCCAGTACCCGTCGCGCTCCGTCTGCGGCGGTGCCCAGACGGACGTGTCGTCGCCGTACCGCTTCAGCGCGGCGAGCATGGAGATGCAGTTGTTGTTGACGGTGATGGTGTCGTTGAGGTACGCCATGGCGTCGTAGATGGTCCGGGAGAAGTTGACGTACTTGTAGGCGGACCAGCAGTCGTAGAGGTGGAGGAGCGAGGTGGAGGCGGGCATGAGCGTCGACGGCGAGGGCACGCCGGACACCACGCTCCGGCGCCGACATGAGCTCTTCGAGCACGAGCGGCGGCCTCGCCGCCGCGCCGCCATGGCTCCTCATCTGGCCATGCGCGCTCCGCTCCGCGAGCCCCTCCCCGCCCTGGCCATGCGCGCTCCGCTCCGCAAGCCCCGGCCATGCTCTGCTCCGGCCGCGCGAGCGCGAGCCCCGCCCTGGCCATACGTGCGCCGCCACGGCCGCGCGAGCCCCGCTCCGGCTGTGTGTGGTAGGTGGTGCCGTGGTGGAAGGAAGAGGAGAGGAGAGAGGAGAAAGAAAAGAGAGAAATGAGAGGAGAGATGAGAGAGAGGGGAGAAAGAGGGGCTGACAAGTGGGCCATTGCATGCGAAAAAGAGATGCCGGCGTTCCCAGCTGCCTCCCGGGAGACTGGGTTTGGAATGGGCGTGCCGGCCGTAACTTTCGTCAAAACCGGCGCAAAACTGGTTCCTAGGACCCCGAGTGGGTCGTTTTTTGCCCGCCGGCGTTTAAAAATACGCTTGGGGAGGCTTCTTGAGGGCCTGGCTGGAGATGCTCTTAGTTAGCTATCAATCCCCAAGGAGAAAGTCCTATGGAACGTTCTCGATCCTAGGGAAACCAGATAAAGCGAATGTTTGCGTTTTTTCTAGTCTAACAAGGACCCTAATAGCTTAGCTAGCTATCGATCCCAGGGAAAAATCTAGTGGGTTTAACAATCACACATGGCGCCCAAAATACAGACCGAAAGCGTGCTTAGTGAGGTTATGTGTCTCAAAATTAGTAGCTCTACCCTCGAACATGAAGGTGCAGTAGTTGTTGGTTTTTGCAGTCTCTTCAATTTCCTTAACAATGCTTGCATACACGCACGTCCATTTTGCTTGTTGATGTCCATGACCACACATTGGCAATTGGAGGCGATAATTAATTCAATGAAAAAAATAGCACACTGCAAAAAATAGCGCGGCCCCTGAAAATATGCTATTAGCGTGCTATAGCGCGCTATAACGTGCTATTAGCGAGACATTGTACACAAATTAATTTAGTGTAGCAATTCTCTACACGCTATAGCGTGCTATTAGCGGTGTTATAGCGCGCTATTTTTCAGTGGATTAACTACATGTGATAATGCTAGATCCAAAGCTAGAGAAAGTGCTTCACGACATGCTAGAGCTTCCAACATTGGTGGGTCTATTATACCTTCTATTCTGATAACTGATGAACCCAAATAAAGCCCACTGAACGAGCCTTTATTTTGGTTTCTTGCAACTGCAACAGCCACCCTTATCTTTACAGATCCAAGCGGTGGTGGAATCCATCGCGGAGAAGCTTGTCGCTGGTTTGCCATTGTTGCTTGTGGAGATCTCTTAGGCTTGCACTCTTCCAGATCCTGAATATACCTCATAATGAAGTTATGCGTGGACAGTGGGCTTTGGAAAATATTTTCATGCAACGCTTGCCTCCTTAAGTACAAGAGTGCCCAGAGAGTCACTTCAACCTAAATAAATTCAGTCGTGGACATCATATCCATCAAAGCAAAACATTCATCTTCTCGCATTAGGTTCCCTTGTGTTGTTTAAAGCTTCGACAAGATCTGCGTCCTGTAACGCCCAGACACATGCGAATGTTTGGCTACTTGTTCGATGGTTCACCGGGTGGGAGATCCAAGGAGAACCCTGAGGCCTTGTACAATGGGAGATGCTTAGAGGGGTGCTTAGAAAAATAAACCGAGATTTTCTAAAACACCGGTGCCTATTTCTATAAAAGAGACGCTTAGTTAAGCGTCTACCTTGTACAAATAAGCACCAGTACTTAAAAAAAGTCTGCTTTATTTCTGTAAGCACCTCCCATTGTACAAGGCCTGATAGACCCATACATCAAGTTAACTCTGTCTTCTTCCCTCACAAAAAAAATCTCTTTTCTTTGTATTTGTCATGAAGCTAAAAAAATATGCTGTACATTTTTTGTTTATTTTGTCCAGTGTGCAAAAATCATAAAACATGTCGTGCCAAATGAAAATAAAAAAAATAAGATTGCAATACCAATAGAAAATATTGCAATGCTCTTACCATCTTCTTAATAATAAAACTGACATGAGAACAATAATAATAAATGACATGCTCTCGAATAATAAAAATGACATCCTTCTAAAAAGAAAACTGCCATTCTCCTAAAAATGAAAATTTCATATTATTATTAAAAATAAAAATGCCATGTTATTAATAATAAAGCTTTTTTTTTGCGGGGAATTATTAATAATAAAGCTGCCATATAGAAAATAATTTTTTATTGGATATCCCCGAAGGGACAATACAAAAGCAAACTTGATGTGTGAACATTAGAGAAAAAACACCTAAGGCCAGAGCAATGGATGGCGCGGCGGCACAAGTGCAGTAGAGCACCATGCGCCAGGGCACGGAGCGTACTGTACATTGTCGGGGAAGCCTGCTCTGTGTATCGTTCGCTGCGAGCGATACGCGCGTCTGCCACGCGTCGCGCGCTTCTCATGCTCGGATGGGCCTGGCCTAGCAAGATGGCGCATGTTTTTTTTTCGTTTTTCTCATTTCATTTTCTCGGTCAGATAATTTATAATTTGAAATTTTTCATGAACACAAAACAAAAGGTTTTAAATTAGAAAAAATCCCCACGCAAATTCAAAAAATATTCATGAAATCAAACATATTCATGAAATTCAAAAAATCCTCATGAATTCCAGAAACTCATGAAAACTCAAAATTCATAAAAAAATCCAAAAAAATTAAAAAAATGTTCACGTGAATACAAAAACATTAAATGATTCAATAAATGTTCAAGGAAAATGAACTCAATAAATGATTAAAAATTTGAAAATGTTCAAGAACTCAAAAAACGTTAACGAAATTCAGAAAATGTTCATGGATTCAAAAAATGTTCAGGAATTAAAAAATGTTCGCGAACAATTTCGACATCTTGAACACTTTTTGAAAGTGAACAATATTTTAAATTTGTGAAAATTTCTTGATATTGTGAACAAATTTGAAATTCTGAACATTAAAAAAACAAAAGTTGAAAGTGTAAATTTTTAAAAATGCGTTTTATTTCAAAAATTCATATTATATTAAGTTTTTGCATTCTTGAATAAAACAAAAGAGAAGAAAATAAAAGACAAAAAATCGAAAAAAACATGTAAAACAACAGCAAAAAAGGAAAGAAAACAGCCCAAGAGCTCCCAAAGCTGCGGAAAGCTTCCAAAAAGGTCCCAAAACCGGCCGTTGCGAGCACCCCTTAGCGCGATTGAATGGGCCGGCCTGTTGCAACCGCGCGTAGGCGATCAGAGTCTTAGCGCTCAAAGCAGTGATACATATCAGCTGTGCTGTCGCACCGTGGGGGAACACTCGTGCCTTGGGCTCTCCATGGGCTCTCCATGTAGCAACACGTACTCGTGCATGTGTCTGTCCGACCCATACTTCTGTCCATGATGGTTAATCTCGCAAAACAACATCTTGGGAGGTTGTTATGATATGGCGAAATAACTCACGAGGGTACTGAGAGATTTCTGGATTAGGGGGTCCTTGGGTGTCCGGTCTATTCGATATGGGCCGGACCGATGGGCCATGAAGACAAAGATCATCCCTCGTGTTCGGGTAGGACTCCTTTGTGCATGGGCGGCAAGTTTGGTGTTCGAGTGTACTATTTCCTTCCTCTGCAAACCGACTCTATACAACCCTAGGCCCCTTCGGTGTGTATATAAACCGGAGGGTTAGGTCCATAGAAAGGGGATTCATAGGCTAGACAGCTAGGGTTTAGCCATTACGATCTCAAGATAGATCAACTCTTGTAACCCTTATACATACATCGAATATAATCAAGCAGGACGTAGGGTTTTACCTCCTTTCAGAGGGCCTGAACCTGGGTAAACATCGTGTCCCTATTGTCCCTTGTTACCATCGATCCTCAGGCGCCTAACTTGGGACCCTCTATCCAAGATCTGCCGGCTTTGACACAAACATTGGTGCTTTCATTGAGAGTTCCATTGTGTTGTTGATAGAAGAATCGACGGCTCGCCTCGTCATCGACAACGGCGCTGTTTCCAGGAAG